CACAAGTCTCAAGGCGCCGTCACAAAGGTGAAAGTAGTTGCTTCCACAAGCCACGTGACTCCACCAAGTGACAACAATGCAGGGCGTGGCAGAACAGAGATGCGGGTGGGATGGCGTATTCCGGCTCACATAACCATGCCCCAACATGCCAATGCGTTCGTCAGACACATACTCACCCTACTGCCACGGCTGCTACAGCCTTCCCTCCTGCTACAACCTTCCCTTCTGGTACAACCTTTCTTCCCACTATAACTGTCCTATGTGGCCCAACCTCCCCCTCCTGCTACAAACTTTTCTCATCCTATAGTCTTTCCTCCTTTTGAAACCTTCCTTCCTGCTAAAACCGCATTCTCTACAATAACCGTCTCTTCTACTTATACTCTTGCTTCTGTGACAACCTCCCTCGTGCTACAACCTCCTCTCCTGCTATGACATTTCCTCGTGCTACAACCTCCTCTCCTGCTATGTCATTCCCTCCTGCTACAACCTCCTCTCCGCCTATGTCCTTTCCTCTTGCTACAACCTTCTTTTCTGCTAAAAGCTTTTCTTCTGCTGCAAATTTCCGTCCTGCCACAGTCGTCCCGTCTGCTAAAACCCTCACGCTTCCTATTGCTTTCCATCCAGATACAACCTTATCTCCTACCAGAGATCTTTCTCTTGATACTGCTTTCCCTCATACAACCTGTCATCCTGCTCTAAGCAGCCTTCCTGCTACAACCTGCCGTCTTGTTACACCCCTTACGTCACATCTCGCTGCTTCCCTCCAAGTACCTGCCGCATTCACCAGCAGTGTTCGTCCTCCGCCACTTCTTAGAACTAAAAGCTTCCAACCACTTCCCTTCCCTGCATCTATTGCTGTCCCTGCAGAAGTAGCGTCACCATCAACCACAGCAGCAGCACCACCAGTGGTGGGAGCAGCAACGGCAGCATTGCTGGCATCACCATCATCGGTAAATGGAACCGAGTACTCAACGCTAGCATCGCTGAAAGCAACTGGCTGGAATGTCGCGCTGCCTAATCGGGGCTCTCTCTTTGGTAACCATGCAACTGATTCTGCAGCAGCTGCTGCTGCTGCTGCTGCTGCTGCTGGCAACAACGCACTAGCTGCACATGATTTTCCTGTGCCGTTCCCGGCTGCTGGTGGAATAACATCCTTAAACGAGCTTGTTCAGTGGCAACAAGGACTGCGGACGAGGAAGACACTTGTCGTCAGTGGCGATTATAAGACAGGCTTTGATGCACGCTTCGGAGGCTCCGCCGTCGGATCAGCAGCACAATCTGTCGCCTTTCGGTAGCAACTTGCAGCAACAGCAGCAGCAGCAGCGGCACTGCCAGCAAGAACAGCATCAGCAGAGAAGCATGGCGTCATCTCTGCTGTACGCTGAGAAGCTTGTAGGCCAGCGGACAGCATGTGCTCTTGGTGCACCTACTCCCACCACTCATGTCACCACGGGTCTCATATGTAAACACCAGTGTAATGGCTGAAACCGCTCACATCCCCCCGGTTACCACACGCACACTAGCTGTTTCCGCATTCATTTCAGATCCACATGTATGGGGCTACAGTGAAGCAGCATATACCAGTCTTCATCCAACTGCTAATCCTTCTGCCCTGTTAGTGGGGTTTCATTCTCTTTCTGCTGCTCCCGCAGCTGACTCAAGTGTTCCGACCAATGGGCTTGGTGTAACCAGCAATGGCGTTGATGTGACCACTGTCGAAGAGAAAATGCCCTGCCCTCGCTTGGGCGAAGTCGACCAGGCATTTCGGAACAAGACGGTGTTCGTTTCGTGGTCATCGGCGACTTCGGAGACTTTTATCTGTGTGCGACGAGTCGTTTGTCGACGAGATTAATTGATCGAGGTAGAAGTGTTTCCTCTGCTCGATCAAGGTCCTCGTCCAGGAGGAGCTCGTTGACGGGAGTAAAACGGGCGTCGAAGACGAGCCTTTCTGATAGACGGGATTGGCAGAATTGGTGTTTCGACGGATTGCTGGTTGACAGAATTTAGTTTGACGAGTGTTTCGTCGAGCCAGCGATTCTGGTCGACCAGAATTACTTGGATCCAAAATTCGCAATGTACGCGAATTTCGCCCAATCACGAAACAACAAATTTCGACCAATCAGGTAATTTCGGAAATTGTACTCCCCGGAGAATTCGATTCAGTAAGGAAACTGAACCTGAAACACGTTTTTTACTAACAGTAAAAACATGCACAACTATGAACAATGTAAACCTGAGCAACTACCAACTCATGTGAAATATGCTTGTGTTTGTCGTTTCACCTGCCGTTGCTGACTCGACAGATTCAAGTGCTTGTCGAGGAACGTTTCTACAGGGTTCGTTGTCTTTGCTATTTGGTTCTCTTTGCTTGTACCATATTCTAGTTCTATGAACTTTTGCTAGTGAAACTATGCTTGAATTTTACCAAGGCAACTAAGTTCACTCCTCAGAATCACTGCCAGAACTCTGACCGTGTGTCCCACGCTAGTCAAGCTCTCCCGTAGAATAGTATTCTTTGCAACCACTACGGAAGGTGATGTTCTTGTTGGTCCTAAGCTTCCTTGTGCAGAAGCTGAGCTTACCATTCCTCCTTCGGGCTGTGCCCCTTGTGCCAGTTCTGGTATCCGCCGGCCTGCCATGCAAGAACCAGCTTTTCAAAGCAATGCTTCAATGGTTCCACCAAATATTTTTTCTGCCACCTCAGCTCCCAATGGTGCTGACGTGTCAGTATGTGGTGGTGTCGCCACATCGGGGTGGGAGACCACTGCCTTTCAGCAGCAGACAGCATCGTGCATGCAGATGTCAAGTGTTGAACTCAGGGATTGTCATCTCCATCACACGTCTGACTCCCAGCAGAATTCGCTGCAGCGTCATCAGTAACAGCAGCAGCTTCTGACAACTGCTTTAGTCAAAGCAGCAGCTTACATGGGGGATGGTGGGGGCAGCAGCAAGAGCAGTGAGAACAGCAGTAGCAGGAGCTGCATCCGCTGTAACAGCAGCCATGTTAAGGAGCCTAGCATCTGCCATAATGGTATGTTGGGTGTTAAAGGTAACACTTTTTCCAACAATTTGACGTACGATCAAATTGTTCGTCGTAATAGCGCTACCAGCAGTAGTGGCAGCATGAGCAGTTTGAGTTGCTCTGTGGCTGGATCATCACCATATGATGAAAAGGTTGATATGGGATATGATGGGTCGACCGATGTGGAAGAACGCTTGAAAGCTTCTGTTTCGAATGTGGCATTTGGATGAGCTGCGCTTGGCTCAAGAAGACATCAGCGTGTGCCAAGTCACTGCCAAGGATTTTGACGATCCAGTTTTGATCTGCATGCCCGTTGTCCAAGGTTCCAACAATATTGATAGCATTTTGTCTGATTGTGTAGGAGATGAAACATGGTATTGGTAATCCGAGGCACGCTTTTTGTGCATTAAGATATATTAAGTTTGTTAGCTTGATGCGACATGAGCGTTTTCAGTATATCTACCCTGTCTATGGATAGCAACGCCAATACCTTCTGTACATTTACCACGTGCGACTTTTCCTCACATGAGTACTTGTATAGGGCGGATTGTTGAGGGCTTTGTCGAATGCTTTGCATTTTGGATAGGGTTACCGAACCCTCACGTGTAACACGTGAGTTGCCTACCAGATTGTGTCAAATTCCGCTGAAAGTCATGCATGATTTCCCGCGAAACCTGATACAGGTCAGCTCACATGGGAAGTGACGCATTGGCTGATTTCCAGCGTCAGCAATATGTGAAACGTTTGGTTATTGGATAATTCCAGCTCATTGCTCACGCACGCTTTTTTCTTACATCTGACTTTGTTGTGAGATGCACCAATTGGTGACTGCCTTGTGGACATCTCGATTTTTCGACCTCTCAGGTTTGATTGACGCCTTGCCTGCTGCAACCTTGTTTTCATCTTGCTTCACCACCACCACACTCTGCATGTGTAAAGCAAGTCCCCTCACGCATGTGCGAAGCAAATGTTGTCTCGCACGAGTTCGTCGGTTTCCGCGCATGGATAGAGAAACCCTTCTCCTCACCTCTTGACGCACCGCCAAATTTTCGAGACATAACGGCTGTCGAGGAAAACCCCTACTCTCCGTCCAGCGCCTTGTCTTCTGCCCGGAAAGACTTCTGATGGGACAGTTTACACGTAACATTTTCAGACAACCCTCTTCTGATCAAGCTCACACTGCTGAGAGCACCTTGTTACACTCGATAGAAAAAACCACTGAATCCAATATCAAATGGGTTAATACCAGCACGAAGAATCAAATCCCTATGGACACTACGCGCAAATTCCAGAAGCTTTCCCCCTCCGCGTTCCCCAACCCCCTTCCATGTCCCCCTTCACGTACCACTCATGGACACCCCCTCAGCGGACCTCCCTTGCCATGCCACTCTCCCCTCCCTAATCTGTTACGTCGCTCACACCGATTTACTATAAGAACCTCAGCGGAATGGAGGTAAGCATTCTCATTGACCAGAAGTGCGTAGTGAAAGAATTTGGGTTGCAGCTCGCCGTGTGCTCGAACTCCCCAACTTCGTCTCCTACTCTACGGTCGAAAAGATCACCTCTCGCGCGGCTACTTTCGTCTTGCGAGGGCTTGCTATTCAAGCTAACTTCATCAATCGAGCTTCGTCGTCAATTTCACAAGAATGAGTTTCATCGAGAAGGTCTGGAGTGAAGTCATGGGAGGCTCCCCGCAGCTCCCTTCAGTCATGGAGAAGAGCATTTCAACCTCTCCTAGAAGCTCGCTGGAACGTTACGACAGTGGGGGAAGTCCGCTTTCCCCTTCAAATGAAGGCTTATATCATGGTACGCACCCTCAAATTGCCAATGGAGGACGTGCTACTCCGCTTTCGCAAAAACTCCGTCTGATTTGTGCTGATTCGCTCGTCAATTTTGCTGAAGTCATTGGTTCTTGCATACTGCATCGGATGCAGGAATTCCGCCGCTGAATCTCGACGAGCGGCGTAAGAGCGCAGATATGGCGTCTGACGGCCGGACAGTGATGCCAAGAATCACCAAGAGCATCTCCATTGCTACACAGCAGCCAAAGACGGCTCGCCGGCTCGACACCTCTCGCTCTCTGCCAGCTCACTACGACACTGGACTTTCCAACTTACCTTCCCCTGGTACGTTCCACTGCGACTGGCTGTAAACGGAATTGATGTACTTCGGTTCATGATTTCTTTCGCACGGTTTTTCTTGAATTGCAGCTGACTGACGTTCCTTTTTTCTTACTTTCATGGTTGGATTTCAATGGTTACAGCGTCCCGCAAGGGAGAGAACGTCTGGCGCAGTGTGTTTCACCCCGGAAGCAACAAGGCTGGGATGGACCGCGTTGGTGCTACCAGATTTGACAAGGCTAGCTCGTCGGAGCCGTCCGTGTTCGACTGGTATAATCCGCTCACGATCTGAGCGCCCAGAGCCCAGACGCAATGTAATGTCTTATGGGCTCCCTGCTTCTGCATTTTCATCTCATCTTCATCATTTTTTGTTCCTTTTGACATCCTGACACCCGTACAATCCCAAGTCGAAGATTTCTGATGCCTTTCGCCTTGTTTCACTTTTCAGGCTGTACAATCCCAAGTCGAAGTCGCAGTACCGTTAGAGCAACGTCACACGTGGAGATGCTTTGCAGCTAAGGAGGCGGACAACATGAAGTGGCATTGAAACCTCACGATTTGCAATAATCACTGGAGCGGTTTTTACGGCAGTGAATACTGGGGCTGAAAGCCCTACTGTACATGCTGTACATGTGCTGCCTGCGCCCTCAACCAAGAGTTTTTTTTCAAGCTTCTGCTGCTGCTGCAATGGGGGTATTCGTCATCTTCACTGCTCGTCAACAACAATCTTTCACGTTGCTCCGTGCTGCTTCACTTCACATCACACTGCGTTTCAAGTTCCAGCTTGCTTCTGCCATCATCTTCTGAGGGTGCAGATGGTGGACAAAGCGCTATTTCGCTTGTTCTGTCTTTCTGCTGAGTTCTGTCCTCAGGGTGCACCAGGATTTTCCATGGCTGGCCCTTTATGAAGGCCTGTCCAGGAGCTGCGTTTATGGAGTGTGGATCTTGTGTGTGATGCTGGTGTGGCTAGGGGCGAAGTCCCTGGTGACCATCCTGCATTTTGTGCTGTAGATATATTTGTAAAGCGTTGGAAATAAGAAAAATTGCTTTCAAACCCTTTTTCATTAGGGTTGTGGGCTAAAAACATTTAAAATAATGACATAAGGGAGGGTTTGAAAATCTGTTTATTCAGTAAGGGGATGCACCTAGCTTTGAATTGAGATTTTACTCGATCCAGTCATTCCCTTAGCACAAGCATGGTTTTAGGTTTAAAAGTTGGTTCTGACTGTAAGAAATAAGAGTAGTACACTGACTCAAAAACATTTTCTGTATCGGAACATTTTCTGCTCTGCAAAGCCCCGTTTCACCGCCCCACGCCTTCCTCCACACAACACAACCACAGGCAACGAGAAAGCTGTCTGGCGGGCACGTTATCCTGCTACAATCCCCGCCATCTCCGCCAATCATGGCGGGACTGACAGCTCAGCTCAGCAACACCCTTGTCGGGCCAGCTTCATCGGCCCGTACAGGTGGCTCCGCCAGCCTCTGTTCGCAGGTTGCGTCGACGAGTCGCGCCGCTGTCTCACCACCCTCGTTTCCTGGACTGCGAAGACGGGTACTGCGTAGTGCGACTCCGCGAGTTGCTGGTGAGAAATTTGGGAACTGCTGGGGTGGAGGGAGACGGAAAACGCGGCGATCGCACCGGTTATGCTTCCGCCGTTCGCATGTTTATATAACCGCTGCATTTCAGCCATCCAGGACCCTGGTCTCTCCCGCTCCCCACGTGGGGGGGGGGGGGGGGGGATTTTCGATTTCACTCCGCGGCGCCTTTGCCATTCATGATCTCATATCCTCTTTCATCTCCTCCAACCCCCGCCCTCCACCAGAGCGATGCTTCTCTCGTCCGTCGCTCTGCTCGAAATGGCGACTCGGCGTTTCCGCCGCATCGGACGGCGGAAGCGGCGCTTACAGCAACAGCTCCCCCGAGAATGCCGAACAGATTGCGCCTAAACCAGGCGTAACTGGACAGGTCACACCTGCGTCTGCCACAGAATCAGTGGGGGCAGTCTATAGCGGGGATACGGATGCAGCAGCAGCGACTTCTAGGGCCAGTCGGCACCGTCCCGGGCAGATGGAATTTGTTCCCGGGCAGAAGGAGTTCCGTCCCACGAGAAACAGAGTGCTGGCATTGGCTGCAGGTGCACTTACAAAGTTGTCCTGTCCGCTGGGTTTCGGGTTTAACTCTCTTCCTCCCCTACCTTACACCCACCCCTTCCACCCCCTCCTCTCCCCCCACCCAACCCCCACCCGCACTCACACTCTCCCACTCTCCTCACTCACGTTGTGTTCAAAAACTCCTTCGTAATCCTTTAACCACCACAAGCCACATCACCCCATTCTCTGCAGTGGCACATCCCCTTTCTTACCGTCTCCTCCTCCCAACCCCTCCAGTCTCTTCCCCTGAGCCTCACCCTCCACATATGCCGACCTGTCGTCCCGTTTACGTTCTTCTCCTGCCACATTCATTTCCATGCGCTCTCCTCTCGGCATGCTTCCCATCAATCCCACTTCGTGGCTTCTTGCACCGCATTCTCCATGCTTTTCCTGCCGCATTCTTCCATGTGCAGTCGCCCTTCTCTCTAGGTGACTTTTGAGTCGACTCAAAGTCACTTCTTGCACCACATTCTCCATTCTTTTCCGGCCACATTCTTCCATGTGCAGTCGCCCTCTCTCTTCCCCAGCTGCCGCTCACTACTGCCCAACTCACCCGTTCCTCGTCCTCTCTACACACTCTTTCTCTTTCCGCTCCCTCTTGCCCCTCCCTCCTCTCTCCCTTCATTTCCTCCGCCTCCCCTTGATGTGCAGCTTCACTTGTTCTCTTCCTCAACCGTCGCTGGTTGCTATCCGAGCCCATCTGCTCCCCTCTTCTCATCCTCTCTCTCTCTTTATCCTTCAGCTCCCTCTTGCTGTCCCCTCTTCCTATTCCCTTCATTTCTTCCCCTCCCCTCAATATGCAGTGGCGGTCGTTCTCGTCCTCAACCGACGCTGGTTACTCTCCGAGCTCATCCGTTCCTCCCTTCTCATCCTCTCGCTCTTCACCGCTGCCTGCGGCTCAACCGCCGTCTTCCTCCTCTTCCTCACACACTCCCTCCTCCTCCTCCTCCCCGACCCCATCCTCACTCCCCTCTCCATCCTCCTCTCTCTCATCGCATCTGGAGCCGAGTTCCTCTATTTCGCGATACTCGCCCAGTTTGACGTCATGCCGGTTGGACCGGTTATCCTGAACGCTCTTCTGGTTACCGCCGTGGTTACTGTAGCTCAGCGATTTGATTCTGATCCCGAGAGGCTAAACGGTCCGCTGTGGCTCTCTGGATCGGCAGCTGTTGGTCTCGCGACAGGTGTCGTTCCGCCATTGGTTTTCCTGCTTATCCTAACCATCCTCACTGGGTTCTCTGCGGCTCGTGCTGTTCTTTCATCGTTAGCAGCAACTGCTACTGCATCTGCTTCATCATCCACCCTCGCTTCCTCCATCTCCTCCTCCTCTTCCACCTTGCCCTCTGCGACTACCAAGCCTCAAGCTTTGGCCGGACCTAACTGGTTGTCAGTGGTGGCGCCAGCAGTGGCAGCGATTGCCGGAGCAGCGGAGAGCCTTGGGGTTCGTCTGCTAGCGGTGGGGGTGTATGCGATGCTTGCCGTGTGGCTGCACCATTCAGGGAAAATCACCTTCCAAGGTGAACCTAGCACCGCAACAACAGCAGCACAAGGGAAGCATGTTAAGGCCTGGAAGTTTCAACCGATGAGCATGATTCAAGGGCTTGTGGCGTTTGCAGGCCTTGTGGCTGTGATGCGGTGGGGCAACAGTGCCTTCCTTGCATGGATGGTGCTCTGACCTGTTTTTTAACCGGGTTTTGTAGTAGTGTGTCACATCAGATTGATCGTTAGGGATTGGGATGGGTGCGCTGCGCTTGTTTGGTGAGGTGCCAGAAATGTGGATGGGTTTGACTTGGGTGGTTAAGTCAATCTTGTCTGCATTCAGTCTATTGCCTGCAATAGCCCAGTTTACATCACACTCAATCCCAGAAGGCTCCATGTTCCCCATTTAAATATCCTAAAGCTACTGGGCTTCATGTGCATGTGAGAAAACACTGTTGTGAACACACAGACAGCCGACCAAATTCAATAGTTCATGGTATTGTTTGCTGTAAGTAGTGGCTTTTGTTTGTGCTCTCAAGCCTGGTATATTCCAGACAGACATTCATGTATCTCAGTACCCGTTTCCACATGCCACCCTTCCGGATGAAGGGCCAGATGACATTCCTCTCACTCTGTTAGTCATTGCCGGCATTAATTTCAATGCCCAATTAGTGTGGCAAGGAGCGGTTACCTCGACAGTCGAATCTGTACGATGTTCCATAGTATTTGATGTCATGTTAGGAACGATCCATCTTACATATTATGACCACGCGTGACAATGGGCGCACATGCTTGGACGTTGCCATTGTAATGATGCGCCTGAGACTAGAATGCATGCCTGCCTGGGGCAATCCCGTGACAATGCGCGGATACGAAACATTCTATGAAAGCAAGCCCATGATGTGAAAAAAGAAAAGACTGCAATCTCCCTTCATCCCAAATTTCTGCAAAAATAACTCCCACGATGGATGCATAAGCAACCCCGTCGAGGAAAGGCTTTAATCATTAGGGAGATCTTGAGCGAGGCACTCGCAAATTAACAAGATGGCGCCATGAAGGCAGCATCGAGAGAAAGGGGTGGAATGTGTGGAATCTCAGAGGAAAACGTATGGACAGCACCGGCATCTGAAAGTGAAGATGCGTCGTTTCTCTGGTTATTAGGACACCAGAACTCTTTGTTTCCAGATGACCAATCCAGACGAAAGGCGAGGGAAAAACCCGAAAAAAACAAGACTGAATGCAGGAGTGGGTGGGAGCACAATAGACGGAGAAATAAAAGTGACGAAGAAAAGTTCGATAAAGCAAGAGAGGGCAAGGTGAATGAAGAGAATAAACTGAGCAAGCCAGGGACCGTGGCCAGAACGAAGGGAACCTCGGAAGGAGCTGAGACGAATGCACGGAAAACAAGGCTCTCGGAATCCCTTCCGTATATGTACTCGAAGAAGGCAAGGGTTCAAGGAGGGTTTTCCAATTAAATGGAGGTTGAGCTTCAAACGAAAGTAATTTGGAAAGATAGGTACAATAAGTGGACCAGGTACAAATACGTGTTCTCAGGATTCGAAGACTCTCTGGATCATAGATGTTTGGGCATCTGGCTAATGGTGCGATGTACAGATACAATGTGTGACCACCGAAAGCGGGTCTGCGAGTCACGTCGTATTGAACTATCCACGTGGCTTGCGCCCAAGATGATCCATCCCTCGAGTTGAGCCACCTCGCACCGCACTAGTGTAGCCCACACCGCCCTCGCCATTCCGAAGTCGCACGAAGGCGTCTCAGCATTCTGGTAACAATTTTAGGTTCGTTCGCCAATCGGATTCATCCACGCTGATATCTGCAGCGGAGCATCGAAGCGCGTGAACTTCCATGGTGTCACCGCTCCCCGCGAAGCTCCCCCCGGAAGGACTTCCCTGTTCTCTCTCTCCCCCAAGAGGAATACTTCCGCACACACCCGATGCCTGCTCCGCGCCCCTAAATTCTCCGCGGAATTTCTTCCATTCACTCGATATGCGCGCATACACCCTCCCTGCGCACTTTCGTGCGCCGCACCCCCGGCCCGGTCACGATATTCCCTTCCCGTCAACTCCAACCAGGTGCGCGCACGCGCAGTGTGTTGTCAGTGCCTCCTTCCGTGTTCGTTACACATGCTGTGAACAGACTTTCCCGTTCTCAATCGCATTCCACCAAAAGATAAACCACTTAGCCTCACCTCACCCAGCTAATAGGCGGATATCCAACCGTGCGCGTTATTCAACCCGTACCTCCTCCCTGCTGGATCACCTGCTACACACGTCGAACACCTCGAAGTCTTCCCAAGGTCTTCTGGCCGCTGAATGCGCCTTCCCGCTTCCCCCTCTTATCCTCTCTCGCTAAACTCTCCTTATATCGCTCTTAGCCGACGTCTCTGGTCTTTTGTGGCTAGAGATCAGCTAGCCAACGAGTATTCAGTCGCAGCCCATTTGTTGTGAATGTCAGTGCACGCGATTCCCGGGAATAAGTTGCTCGTAGCGACGTTGCAACCTCAACGGCTAGTTCGTGCCACCTGTAAATACATTTTTAACTGCTGCTCAGAGCGCCGATTAAAGCAGACGAACCCATTCTTCAACTTATCACAACCAATTCTCGCGTCGCAATCACCTGCCTTCTCAGGAACTTCGTCATTAGCCCGCCTTTCACGGTCCCTCTCGTCTTTAACTTCCTCACTAGTGGCCTTCCCTCGCGCCGCGTGCGCGAAGTTTCCGCGGCCGATGTTCGGGTCGCAGCCCATTGAGAGACTACTAGGCGCTCCGGATGGCCCGAACTCCGTCAGCACCTCCGTCTGCACGTCGTCAGCAGTCACGGCCGCGGCGGCCGCGGCGTGCTGTCTGCCACGCAGACGGAGTATTTCCACGATTGACCGCTCGCCGTCGAGCGACGCCGCGCCTCGATGCTCCACACGTGCCGCTATCATCATTGGCCGGAGCGTAAGACGGGCAGCCGCGGAAACTTTTCAGCTGACCAGCCTCACAGTGCAGCTGCTGCAGTTCCTCGGGTGCGCAACTGCAATCGCGTCGCTTGGACTTACCAAGTTACTCACTCGCAACTCCCTGCGTTTCTATTCTCGGAAAAAATCGTGACATTTCGCACCGCCTGTCTCTGATTTTCGCCAGACATCTCAAAACGCCGCGCCGACGATTTTCCCGCCGCTTCTTTGCCTGTCTCGTGCCGCTCCTCCTACGCGCGTTACCCTGCTCTCCCGTAGTCTCGGGCTCAACTGGGATAGCCACGTGATGAAAGTAGTGTTTTGAGACGTCTCAAAACGTTACCCCGCTTCCCCGCAGTCTCGGGCTCAACTGGGAAATCCAGGTTCCTTTGTCTTTATGCCTTACCCGTTTCCGTGCTCCCCGCCTTACCCTCCCACACGCCTCTCTCCGCCTCTCCCGCTCCGCAGTCTCGGGCTCAACTGGATGTCCAAGTTCTTTCTCCTCATGATCTACTCGCTGCTGCTCATGCCCGGCTTCCTTCAAGGTAACCCTCACAGCGCCATGCGGAAGGTAACCCGGTAACTTGTGATCGAAAGCTACGACTTGCTGCTCATGCCCGGCTTCCTACGAGGTAACCCTCAACGCGTCATGCGAAAACTTGAAGGGTAACAGTAACCCTCGTTCCCCGCGACCCCTCCCCCACCTTCCCGACCTTCCTCCCCCGCCCCCCTCCCTCTTCCCCCCGCTGGTCATGTGGTGCTACTTCTTCTCCCCAAACCCTCTGTTTCGTTCCCCGCTTTCACTCCCCTCCCGCTCCCCGCTTTCACTCCCCTCCCGTTCCCCCCCACCTTCATCCCACCCGTCATCCCCCCGACAGTCATGTGGTACTATTTCTTCTCCTCGACCCTCAGTCTCGTTCCCCGCTTCCTCTCCCCTTCCCCCCTTCCCCCTCCCTTTCCCCCCCTTACCCCTCCCTTTTCCCGCTTTCCCCCTCCCCGCCAGTCATGTGGTACTATTTCTTCTCCCCCAACGTCCGTCGCAGCATACCCTACGGCCGACTGCCGCGCAACAGGTGTGCGCCCTGCTCTTCCTCCCCCCTTTCCCCTTCCCCCTTTCCCCTTGCGCCACTGAGCACTACTTTCTTCTTTCTTTTTCCTTCTCCTTTCCTTTTTCGCACTCGTTACAAGGCGTCCCTTCACCTCCTTTTCCCTTTTTTTTCCCACCCAACATCCCCTCCCCTGTCTCCCCTCCTCCCTCCCCCTTTACCCCCACCAGCTTGGATATATTCGTCCCCGCCTCCCCCTCTCCCCGCCCTCGTCCCGTCGTTATTTTCATAACCGGGGGCGCGTGGATTATAGGATACAAGGCGTGGGGCACGCTATTAGCACAGGCGTTAGAGGAACGCGGCGTGATTGTAGCGAGTATAGACTACAGGAACTTCCCGCAGGCCACCGTTAGCGGCATGCTCGACGACGTGACACGTGGCATCGGCTGGGTGCTGCAAAATATCCACCGTTACGGCGGGGACCCGAGTCGCGTGCACCTGGCGGGGCAGTCTGCCGGAGCGCACTTGTCGTCCGTGGCGATTATCAGACAGGCTCTAATGCGCGCTTCGGAGGCTCCGCCGTCGGAGCAGCAGCATAATCTGTCGCCTTTCGGTAGCAACTTGCAGCAACCGCAGCAACAACATCAACAACAGCAACAACAGGATCAAAAGCAGCAGCACTTGGCGGTGGAAGGCGAAAGCTCGTGTTCAGGGGTAGTTGTTAGTGTAGCAGAATCAGCTGCAGGAAAGACGGAAATCCGTTACTCGTCTGCATCCCTCGCTCCCTTCGCGCCTGCTGCTGCTGCTTCTGCGAAGGTTCATCCTGTCGACGCCTGGAGGGTCAACGCTGCTGCCGCTTCTGCCTCTGCCGCTGTTACTATTTCCGACGTCCCCGTTACAAGTTTTCCCGAGACTGGTCATCGCGCCCCTGCCTCCCTCCCCGTTCTGGCCACTTGCGCCGACTCTGGTCACCCCGCGACCCCTTTCCCCCTCCCCGCTGCTGCTGTCTTTCCGCCCGTCTCTTCCGCCGTTTCCCCTGCGGACCCGCAAGCACCGCCAGCCGCGGGGCTGCGCGGAGAGAAAGAGGCGGCGGCGGAAGCGCTGCGCGCGGGGACGCCGCTATTCCGCTCGCTGTCGATGCGGAGGCTACTGGCGCATCTGGCGGGAAGCGGCGGAGCGGAGGGGAACGAGCCGGGGAGGGGCGTTCTCGACGTGTGGGGCAGCGAGGAAATCAAATCTTTCATCGGCGTCTCGGGATGGTGAGCTGGACAAGTGGGGGGGAAGAAGGTAAGGAGGGAGGGAAGGGGGGGAGGAGGATGGTGGGGGGTGAAAGGAGGGGTAAGGTGGGAGAGAGAGGGGGAGGAAGGGATGGGAGGTGAGATGGTTGATGTAATCTTATCTGTTGAAAAAAGAAATGATAAACGCACACTTAGAAAAACTGTCCCTATAAAAAAAAATATTCCTTTTTTTAACCAAAGTGAATCTCAGTTTCGCCAGCACACGTTCCTCTCCCCCATCCGCCATCTCCTGCTTCCACACTCCGCCCACTCCGCCCACTCCGCCCACTCCGCCCACTCCGCCCACTCCGCCCACTCCTGCCCACATCTCCTCTGCCCCTCTTCTCTCCTCTCTCCCTCCGCCTTTCCCCCTCACCCTCTCCCCTCCCCACACCCACTGCTACAACCTCAGTAGCCTCGCACCACAGTTTGTGTCCAGGGGCATGAGGTAAGGGTAATGAACCCCTACCTCTTTTCGAGTTTTGAGTCGACTCAAAAGTCGAGTTTTGAGTCGACTCAAAGCATGAGGTAAGGGTAATGAACCCCTACCTCTTTTCGAGTTTTGAGTCGACTCAAAAGTCGAGTTTTGAGTCGACTCAAAGCATGAGGTAAGGGTAATGAACCCCTACCTCTTTTCGAGTTTTGAGTCGACTCAAAAGTCGAGTTTTGAGTCAACTCAAAGCATGAGGTAAGGGTAATGAACCCCTACCTCTTTTCAGTCGACTCAAAAGGCACTTCATGCGCCTCCCCTTCCCCTCTCCCCCTTCCCACCCCTTCCCCCTCCCCCAGCTACAACCTGATTAACCTGGCACCGCAGTTCGAGTTCAGGGAAATGAATCCATACCTCTTTTCAGCCGACTCATGAGTCACTCTCTCCCTCCGCCTCCTCCCCCCCAAACTTCGCCCCCCTTTTTCCCCCTCTCTCTCCCTCCCCCCCAGCTACAACCTAATCAACCTGGCACCGCAGTTCGAGTCCAGGGGCATTAATCCCTACCTCTTTTCAGCCGACTCATGAGTCACTCTCTCTCTTTCTCCATCCGCCTCCCCTCCCTCCTCCCTCCCCCGTTTCTTCCCCAGCTACAACCTCATCAACCTGGAACCGCAATTTGAATCCAGGGGCATGAACCCATACCTCTTCCTCTCGTGAGTCACCACAGCCTCTCCTACGAATACTTAGTCATGCCGTTCAGACTCTGCAACACACCAGAGAAGTTCCAAGCAGAGATGAACCACATTCTAGGGCCCCTGTTGGACGAGTGTGTCGCAGTGTACCTGGACAACATTTTCATCTACTCCAAGAATATGAAGGAGCACGTGGAGCATTCGCGGAAAGTCTTCAAGATCCTGCGGGATCAACACTCATCATCATTACTTGGTTTCTAGACAGCTTACGAGGTGACTTTTGAGTCGACTCAAAAGTCTGAGTCACCATAGCCTCTCAGCTGTGTCAGCACTCATGATCATTAATTGGTTTCTAGACGGCTTACATTGTTTCGTGATTGTTTTCTGCACTGTTTCAGTCCCTCCTCCTGTCTCAGCCAATCCCTTCCCCTTCCCCTTCCCCTTCCCCTTCCCCTTCCGCTTCCCCTTCCCCTTCCCCTTCCCCTTCCCCTTCCCCTATCCCCGTCCCCTTCCCTTTCTCCTCCCCTTGTCCTTCTCATCCCCTTCCCCCTCCCTTCTCCAAGCCTGCCTCTGTCTCCTCGCCCCTTCACCCCCTTGTCACTGCCTCGCACCCCCCTCACCTCTTCCCACTCCCTCTCACCCCTCCCCGACCCACCAAACCGCAGCATATTCGAGGGCGAGGAGTCCCTCCCTCTCTTCTCCCCCGAGCTGCTCGTCTCCCGCCCCACCTTCAAGGCTGCCGCCCCCCTGCTGCCCCCTGTGCACCTCTATCACGGGGTAGATGATATATCCGTTCCGTTCACTGCCAGGTATGACACCTGTTACAGTCACACTTGTCGCCCCCCTGCCGCCCCCCTGCTGCCACCTGTGCACCTCTATCACGGGGTAGACGATACATCCGTGCCGTTCACTGCCAGGTAATTGTCACACCTGTCACAGTTTCTGCCTCTCTTCTCCCCCGAGCTTCTCGTCTCCCGCCCCACCTTCAAGGCTGCCGCCCCCCTACTGCCCCCTGTACACCTCTATCACGGGGTAGTCGATATATATCTTTTCCTTTCACTGCCAGGTACGCTATAGTCGCATCTTTTTAGAGTCACACCTGTTACAATCACACCTGCCGCCCCCTGCTGCCCCTTGTGCACTCTGTCACGGGGTAGACGAGATTTTAGGTCCGTTCGCTGCCAGGTAGGACAGTGTAGTCACACCCGTTATGATTGCACCCTTACAATCACACCCACTGTCCCCTGTGCACCTCTAGCACGGGGTGGTCAATATATCATATATCTGTTCCTTTCACTGCCTGGTAATAGTCACACCTACTTACATATGTGCATGTTCACCTGTCATAGTCACAGCTGTTGCAGTCACACCTGCCGCCCCCTTGCTGCCCCCTGTGCACCTCTGCCCTGGGGTGGACGACATTTCCGTTCCTTTCACTGCCAGGTATGTAGACGCACCTGCTACAGCTGCACCTGTTATAGTCACACCTGTTACAATCAACCCTGCTCCCTGTGCACCTTTACCACGGGGTGGATGACTCTTCCGTTCCTTTCCTTGCACCTTACCGCACCTTACCGCTCAACTTGCCGCACCTTACCTCATCAGATTCTTTTTCCTCCTTGCTTTGCATGTGTGTGGCATGGCATGGCATGGCGTGGCATCACAGTGAGGACTTCGGATCAGCGCTGCAAACAGCAGGGGTCGAGACGAGAGTGAAGCTGTACAGCGGCAAGGGACACATCGACCTCACTCTCCAGGTACTATGAATCGCATTATCAAGGGTACAAATAAGGACGAAACTGAAGCTGTACAGTGGTAAGGAGTACATTGGTCTCGTGCTGCAAAAAACACCCGTAATTGAGATCAAGGGTGAGGCACATGGATCCTCGTCAAGGGGCACATTGCAGGCCCCATGCCTATGTCGAATGTCACTGTGAGGGGTCACTGTAGAGGGAAACATTATGTTGCATATAAAGGAGCTGCCTAAAGCGCAGCCAACAGAGCTAACTCAAGGCAGAGCTTTGCCATACCGCTTGTTTCTTCCTTCTCCCTTTCCTTACAATTGTTTTCCGCTTCCCCTTTCCCAATTCAGGATCTGTTTCGGGGCGGCAGAGACGAGCTGGTGGAAGATATTTTGGAAATAGTGCATGGCGTGGATCGGCACAGCCCCAGCCCCAGCCACATCCACAGCCACATCCACCAATCAGATTCTGCCACATCAGCACTGGATCTTGCAGCAGAAGCTGCATGTCCTTCAAGGCCTGCCCCTGGGACCTCCACTGGAGCCGTTCCTGCTTCTCAAGCCACCGCTGCTGCTGCATCTCCTGCTCCCACTGTGGCGCCTGAATCAAGTAGTTTTGCTACCGTTCAGGGATCGATCCCTGCTGCTGTCATTGTTCCTGAGGAGACGAAATCTGAAAAGCTAACTGCGCGTGCTGCAGATGGCATGCTTACTGCTGGTGGAGGGTGGTTGCCAATACCAGGAATGCAAGGGCCAGTTGCTGTGGGGCCGAGAGCAGAAGCACAGGGACCAGAGCGCAAGTGGATGGTTCCAAAAGTGCTGCTGACTGCAGCTAAATTCGTTAGCCCGTTTTAGGTTTAGAATTAGTGCTGACTGCTGAAATTAGTGCTAAGTACAGTAGATGTGCAGAGTAGGAGGCTAGGTATAATGTAAGCTTCTTATCCTAATATATGATCAATGTCTTGAGCTGCAGTGCAGGTAAAACTCTCTTGCATCGGGAGCATCTGTTGTGAGGGATGTTATCTGCTATTCAATGTCACATGTTCAGGATGGTGCAGTGCAGAACGTACGACTTAGTGTACAACATTTTCTAAATAATAGACAGTTTCCTGACTGATCGAGCCTTTTCTCTGGCGGAGGCTCTTTCCTCAGCATTAGGGCGCGTGTCTTAAGGTGTAGATTGTCAAAGTTCAAGCCTCGTACCGCTTTGTACCGTGGCGACGCGTTTCTCAACTGTATCCTACGGTGCACAACCTTTCTATAAGTTCAAACGTGGGCAAAGGTTGACCTCAAGGGCACGCATCCTTAGTGCCTGTCACTAGTCAGATCAATCAACCGTCGGATCACATTCTTGTGGTACAATGCATTTTCAATGTGGTTCAATGCAGTTGTGAAGGAGGTTTTGTCTGAAATGAGGTCATCTAACTATTGCTTGGACCCCTACCTTGTTCGTTGTTGTCTAGAACGATTTTGCAAGTTTTTGCACGAATCTGCAGTTTCTCAAGAGTGCAGTATAACCTAATCAGGCAGGTCTCCCTGCAAGGTCAAGCGTGAAGCAGTAATTAAATTTTACCTTTTAGAGACGAATCTAAAACTTCGTGCACGCGAGGTATGCATGGGTGAGGCGGTTGCTGGGGAGGAGCGAGACATTTTCCCGGGTGCTTTAGCAAGTGGTCAGTCACAGAGACACAGGGAAAGAGGGACTGAGAAGTGGCCTGACGAAACGGCTTTAAAGAACACAGGGGAAGAGGACAGTGCACACAGCGAACAAGCTGAGAAAGCGGAAGGGGCTGAAGGCTAAGACAAACAAGGGCGGGTCTGGAAGTAGAACAGGTGACATTGGTTTGAGGGTCTGGATTGGGAAAACCCGCAAAGGGGTGCTAAGGTAAGCAGGACTAACAGAGTGGAAGGTGGACGGTGTGAAATTAACAGAAGGAACACAGCGGGAACAAAGGAGGCAGAGAGGTAGGGATGGAGAACGAGGGAACGAGTAAGATGAAGGAAAGGAGGACCAGGTAAAACGCGTAAAACAGGTAGCGAGACATAAAGCGCGCGAACGGGGGGGGACTGAAACAGGGAAGGAGCGGGACAATGTCAAGGGCAAAAGGAAGGAACGCGTGAGGTTGCGCGAGTGGAGCGGGCACAAGCGAATGAGAGAGGTGGGGGGAGGGCGCACGCGCTCATGTGTGTCTGCTTCCGAGACCTTGCACCCTTTATGGTAAACTCGGGACTGCACAGTTCTAGTAGAAACCGGTGAACACTTCATGAAAGCCGTCAATACAGAGAAAGAAAGCCATCAGGTCCATAACTGATACCTAATAATCGTGAAGAGTAAGAAGATTGAGATAAGAAAACCCCTGCAAGGGATAGCTGACGAGAGTGCTAAGACTGCTTCCTCTATTCAAACCTTGGGAGCAGCGACATTGACCCGCAGTTGTCTGCCGTCAACATCCTGAAATGAATGAAAAGAGGAACACAATAACAAAGCACATTAAGAAACCAGAATGAGCATCGGGAGTTCACTTGAAAATCTACCAAACAGGTAGGCCAGTCTTAGAAATGACAAAACTAATGTCAAACCGAGATGGAGTATTGGCACTTACAGCTCCATCAAGGTTCGAGATCGCCTCCTGCACCTCCGCGTCGCTCGACAGGGTCACGAAGCCGAACCCTCGGGACCTGCCGGAGTCGCGATCCAGGACGACCTTGGCCTCGAGCACCTTGCCGAACTCAGCGAACAGATCCTCCAGAGCCATGTCGTCCATGCCCCACGACAGGTTGCCGACGTAAAGCTTGTTGCCCTGGTTACCGCTAAAACGGGGCCTGTCGCCACGTGGCCTCTCGTTGCGAGCACCCCTCTCGCGCTCGCCGCGGGGAACGGGCATGTTGACCTTGAGCATGCGGCCGCCGAGTTCCTGCACGCGTTACGAATATTAAACGGACATAAAAACAACCATAGTGAGATTGAAAGACTAATGGTCGCAGTATGCATCTGCTCGCATTCCTAGATTTAAAGTAATTCACCTTACATGTGAGATTATCCTAACACACATTGACAACTGTGGAGTACATCAACGCTTTCGAACAGTTCACTCTTAAATCCTCATTAAACCATTAATTGCAGATGTGAGCAAAAAATAAGGTTAACTTACTGAGCCGTCGAACTTCTCGATGGCAGACTGCGCCTCCTCAGGGGTGCTCATCGTGACGAAACCGAAACCCCTGCTGCGACCAGAGTCCCTGTCGTAGATAACCTGCATGCACACCAGAAAGAAAAACGTTAAATCAAAGTGAAGAACAAAAAAAATATGTAGTGCACACAGGGTTTAACAAGAAACCATGCGTACGAAAAACGAACGCGAAGATCGAGCAATTGCAATTAAGTATCAACCGCGACGGTGAATGGAGATCAACCTCTAACTCGTGGCAACATGAGACTAACGGCTTAAAACGCTATCTTACCTCGACAAGCTCCACGACGCCAGCCTCCTGGAAGATCTCAGCGAGCGACTCGCTGTCGACGTTGAACGGCAAGTTGCCGACATAGATCTTGGTGCCTGGAATCTCGCGAGGAGCACCGTAGTTTCCGCCACCCTGCACATCCTCCGCGACCGCTCGGACGACAACCGAGCCGACGCCCTTGAACGAGGCAGTCGAAGCGACGCCAGCAGACTTCCAGGCAAAGGCGGGCTGGACGGCGAGGCTGACGGACCTCTTGAGCTTCGACTCGAGCTTCACTGAGCTGAAAGTGGCACGGCACGAGGCCGTGGCTGTCTGTGAAAGAGTGACGGCAGCCATTGGAGAATGTGAAGCTGATTAAAAATCAGGGGAAACTACGAAACCTTCGAAATGAGGAGGCGAAGGAAAACTGCGAACTTGAAAGAAAGCGAGAACGAGAGGAGAAGCACATAAAGAGTGAGCTGAGGTTTGTGGATGGATGGGATAGCTGAGTGCTTTGAGGCGATCAGTGAACTGACGACTTCTGTTCGCGAGCTGACGATTATCGTCTGGTTGCTGACATGGCTCCCTCGGGATTTCGTTCAGTCAAATTTGGGGAATGGGGTTGGCTGGCGGAACGGGTCACCTGCTGGGCTTTCCGTGGCAATGTGTGGATCATCTATGTGCGCAGGGGAATTGGGGAGTGTCATGCGGAGTTGCAGGTGGCTGTTGCTGGGCTGACGAGGCAAACTGTTCGTTGAACGCGGAACACTCGGATTGGTCAAGCGCACTTTACTTCCCAACGTGGAGCTCTGACTGTACCCTTTCACTTGGGCAATGTCGGCATGGTTGGTGATCGTCGATTTGTTGCGCATCGACGAGCCAAGCTGCGACAACAAATTCACCTCGAAACCTGAAAGACGACATTCCGATATGTGGGCGCGAAAGGAGAGCCGACGTGGGGCAAAAATATCGTGTCACAACGGTTCTTTCACAATGGATGAGGTTTCTAGCAACCCGATTTGAATAGCTTCGTTAACAAATTTATTCAAGTTTGGATGTCGCAGTTGCAGACACGTCTCAGTTTGAGATGGGAATGAACACATTAGGTGAATCTAAGCCTTCATAATGGGCCGAGTGCATCCTGTATCATACCAGCTTCAGACGTGGAAATAGACGCATAGCATTCTCACATGTGGTCTTGGCCACTTCAGCAACAGTCACACCATGAATGCGAGCTATTTCCCTACACGACACCACAATATTGCACGGCTCATTGGTGGCACCCATCTCAGGAGCAAGCGCAGGGGAGTCCGTCTCCAGCACAAGGCACGAAAGAGGAAGGCCCTTCACGAGTTTCTGCGATTCAGAAAAACAAACATGTTAACACCAGAGGGGAGGAAAATGTATGACAAAGGCTAGTCAGAAGCATATCATCCCACACACACCATACCCCATCCGCAACACACCAACCCGCCTAACCAGCAACCACGTGAGCTTGCATGGTCACTTCAGACGCACCTGTGTTTGTGGTGACCGGACGACAGAGGGTGGCACAGAAAAGAAGAAACCGCCATGCCGTTCAGCCCGTTCAGCATGCACCAACCGCCCATCAAACGCATGCATCAATGCTGCTGACGTGGCAGGAAGTCCTGATTGGACGATCTCCTCTATGGCGTGGTGTCCCGCGCTGCGAGAGTGGACATTGACTGGCAAACCCAGCTCTGCTGCCAAAGAAAGCTGCCGCTGAAACACCTCCCTCTGCATGCTCTTGAGTTCCTCTGATTGGGAAACACTTATTCCGCTGTTACTACTTTTGCTGTTGCTGTTACCGCTGCTGCTGCTGGTATTGCTGCTGCTGCTGCTGCTGCTGCTATCACCACCTGTTGGCTTACCCACCACATTCGGGCTGAAATCAAGGCCTATTTCACCAATGCAAACCAAAGGCACTGAGGTTCCTCCGGACCCTTCCTTTGCTGTGTGCGCTGCTGAGGCGTTGCCACCTTCTATTTCCTGTACTGTGCTTCCCGACCTTTCCTTCACGCCACATTCCTCCTTAGACCGAATGAGATTCAACACTGGCTCCAGCTCACACAGTTGGACCGAATGAGACAGTGTTAAAAGAGCCGGTTGGTTACAGCCTGCTGACGTGGTGTCCACGTTAGGTGGATAAGGTCCTGGCTGGACTGGGTGCAGCCCGATAGCAGGAGCGATTCTCAATCCGAAAACATCCGAGTCGCGCCGAGCCGGGGCAGACGGCTCGGATTGGTTTGCAGGGTGCGAGATTCCAGTTTCGCATTCTGCGGGGGAGATGAGCGGATGGGATCGAGCGAGAGACAGGACCTCGTGAGCGTCTGCTAGGGTTTCTGGAACAGTGACGATGTGAGAGACGCACGCAGCAGCAGCACGGCGGAGGAGAGGGAGGAAGTCGGTGTGGGGGAACTGGGAAGGGTAGGTGTGCGCGTGACAGTCAATGAGCTGGAAAGGAGGGTGTGACGTGGATAATGATGCGACTGGCGATGGAAGCTTCCACGAATCCACGATACCGTCCATTTGAGTTGTTGCGTGTAAGGTATCGGGTCCCTGTGCCGATAATCCCTGTGCCGTATCTATAATGCCAAGGAGGCTGGGACTCTCGTTTTAAGGAAACCGGGGCAGCGGCTGTCGTCTGCAGGGCAACACGCTTTCTGAGTCGAGAATCAACCTGTGAGAGATGCACGGAAGTACTCCTCGGAACGACAGCCCACGGAAAAGCGCTCTGCTTTGCTTCAGCACAGCAGCATCAAAAGAACGAGGTGGTATGGCATGTGCCAGTCGGAACCTTTTGCAACCGAAATTCGCATTGTGGGGTGGTGAGAGCGAGGTGGGGAATCTGTCGTGCAGCAGATGAAATGGGATCACCGAGGCACTTGCCTTGAGCTGCCTGAATTTGCGACGCGATATGCACTGGCTCGATAGTAAAGGATAACAAGTGTTTCCTCCACAAGCACGAGCATCAGGAGAAGGCAATGGAAGTGATGAAGCTCTTATGAAAGTTAGAAGACCTCAACTATTCGTTTCCACTATTAAATGCTAAAATGGAAAATGTTTTTGCCATATGCACAGGAATCGGTGCAATGAACGTTCTCTTTCCAGAATCATGTTTTCCTGGTATCACCCCAAGCACACTTCTCTCCCCATTCTCACGCCTCTCCCTCCACCCGGCAGAGGCGTCTTGAGTCCGCAAATCGTCGGTTGAAACCAAAAGAGGCACTTCGATCGACCGCGCATGAAGGTGTAAACCTTCAGGAAGTGCTACCAGTACTTGAGGTGTAGTTTCTGGCGGTACACCGGATACTCCTTTGTGGGCCCATGCACCGTAGGTCATGTCACCTTGTATTGGACACTCGAGTGCCAGGGCACAGTGAATGCGCAACTGAAGGCACAAGAATGACACAGAGAAGACAGGCCATACCAGACAAAAATACAATACAGAAGATGTGAAAGGAGAAACTACTCAACGGAGCAACTGGGAAAATGGAACGAACTGACGGCACACCTACAGTGAACGGTTCAGCAGGTGCATTCGTGATTGCGATGTTATTCTTCATGTTGTGACATCTTGCACTTACAAAAGCCAAATGCAAGAGTACAAGCATGAGGGGGGGAGGGGGAGCGGTGTGGGGAGGTGCGACGGCAAGGATGGGTGAAGATGGGAAATCTGCTTAAGCAGGTGCAAGGGGAGTGTGTGGTACACAGACAGACACACACGCAAGCACACGCACCTGGTGTTTGCGTCCCGTCAACGGGCGCAACTCCAACCATGAGTATCCTGCACGCAGCAAGCCAGCCAGCGAAGCACACACAACAAGCGAACATGCGAGACGGTATGCTTTCAGAGACAGACGCCATCCCTTTTGAATGTAGACGTATCCCCCTACCCATTGTGCTACTGCAGGACTGTTCGTGTGTGCTCTGAGAAACACCGACTACCCAAATTTTAGAATTCTCAAGAGAGCGATTCAAACCCACTGCGCAATTGTGAGATCGCTCTTGTGTGTGCAAAGAAAAACTAGGTCACCCAACAAGCTTAACCATAAAGTCCTCAAGCACGCAACAGAACACAAAACCAGCAGCACTAGTCCCCAATACCCACCGAAACTGGGTATTGTGTGTGTGCACAGAGAAACTGGGTCACATATGAAGCTTCACCATAAAGTCCTCGTTCACGCAACAGAACACAAATCCAGCAGCACTAGTCCCAATACCCACCAGAAGGCGAGCTCTGGATGACTCTGTACAGTGTGACAGCTGGCAGCTCCTTAGTGGGCGAGTTTGAGTCGTTGCCCGGCTGGAAAAATAGAATGAAAAGCAAATTAGGTTGGAAGGGGCAGCAGGGAAGGGAACGCTAGCGCTAGAAGCAGCAAACAACCAAAATTCATGTGGCAATGTGCGATGCATGGTGGATTCATGCAATCACTGCGAGAGGCAGTCATCAGACACATGAAGTGATACCAGTGATGATCCGAATTAGCACACTGACACGCACCCACCCATCCCCACCCCCCTCCCCTCCCTCCCCCCCCCTCCTCACACACACACACACATTCTGACGAAAGTGTACATGTGTACACAAACACCCTTCTGAGCACACAGGCACACACTGCAAGCCCCATGCAATGGCTTGTTTATGCAATGGCAAGCCCGCTAAGCACCCTTTCACACAAACCTTGTGCAGTGGCGAATTGATGACCCCTGACAGCTGCTTCGGCCGGCCAATCACAACCGCCCAATACACCCGTGCCATACCTCCCTCCTTGGACCAATCAGCAGCAGCGCTTCCCTCATCGCCAGCAGTGACACCAGCACTTGCAGCAGCACCAGCACTTGCAGCAGCACCAGCACTTGCAGCAGCATCGCCAGCAGCAGCACCAGCACTTGCAAAGGCACCAGCTTCACCTCCAGCAGGAGCAGAGCCCGCAGAAGCAGCAGCAGCAGCAGCAGCAAGAACGCCAGCAGCACTCTTATCGCGGAACAGGGCTGAGAGCACACGAGCACTAGCAGGTGAGCGGGCCAATAGCATGGCGCCACTTGTCTCCCTGTCCAGGCGATGCACCTGATTGGTCGGGAGAGGGGCATGCAAATGAAAGTAGGCATGCAAGGGGATAAAAAGGGGTGCATTGGAAAGCAAAGGCACGGGAAAGGGAATGACAAAGGGATATTACGAAAGGATATGATAATGGGGTGTGAAAATGACATTCTGTAAACAGGGTAATGTTTTACAGCATCTCAAATCACTACTTCTATCACGTGTATACAGGGGAATCCATGCTGTATGCAAGATACCTGATATTCCATGCAATATGCTGCCTCTGGCACTGGCCTATGGCACATAGGGGTGGGTCTGGGTGCAAGAGTCCGAACCAGGCGAAGAGGCTCGGGGGAGTCAGCGGCTAGGGCGTGCTGCATGAGATTGTCCACCGAGAGGCGCACTTTGTATCCCCCCTGCGATACAGTCACACAGAGATAAGCACGTGCACAGAAACCCTTGGATTACAGAATCAATGATGCAGAGGGGAGGCAGCGGTTAGTGCTTGCTTCTTGAGACGTCTCGAAAATCACGCATGCAGAGGGGAGGCAGACGTCTCGAAAATCACGCATGCAGAGGGGAGGCAGACATCTCGAAAATCACGCATGCAGAGGGGAGGCAGACGTCTCGAAAATCACGCATGCAGAGGGGAGGCAGCGGCTAGGGCGTGCTGCATGACGCTGTCGACTGCGAGACGCACTTTGTAGCCCCCCTGCGATCCACCATGCATGGAGCCATAGCCCCGAGGAAACACAATAAGGGTTCGGAGACAATGGCACTGAAGCACGAGAAGACACTCAGGAGGGGAGAGTAAGGCTAGGGCGCGCTGCATGAGGGTGTTCACTGAGAGGCGCGCTTTATACCCCCTCGTGATACAGTCACACAGAATGAGACAAACGTGCAGAAATAGACGCTTGTTTGGGGGAACTAGTGGCTAGGGCGCGCTGCATGAGGGTGGTCACTGAGAGGCGCGCTTTGTAGGCGTTACCTGGGAGGAAATGCGTTCCCTGGGAGGGCAGGCGTTACCTGGGAGGGAAGGCGTTACCTGGGAGGGCAGGCGTTACCTGGGAGGGAAGGCGTTACCTGGGAGGGCAGGCCTGGAGGCTTGTTGATAACGAGGATGTGCTCATCCTGGCAGGCAGGGGAAGGGGGGAGGTAAGGGGAAGGGGAAGGGGAAGGGGAAGGGGAAGGGGAAGGGGAAGGGGAAGGGGAAGGGGAAGGGGTTGGGTTTTGAGAATTCTCGAAACTAACCGACAAAAATATTATATGCTCATGCTGCCAGGGGAAGGGAGGGAGGGAGGGGGGTGAATGGCATGTTCGCACAGTGGAATGATGTGAAATGAGATGAATCTAGCGTTAACCCCCCCTCCTACAGCTTCCTACCTACCTTGTATAGGACACACTTCTGCATCATTTCGACATCCTCTGGTTGAATGCCACGTGGCAAGGAGGAAAAAGAAGAGGACGGAGCGGCAGAGGAGACAGACGAGGCAACAGCCCGAGTTGCAGCACTTGCTTCAAAACCGGTGTGCAATTGGACAGACGAAGGGATGCACAGGATGGTTCCTGGAAGGAGCAGTTGGCTGGCTGATACCTGCCAAACCAACACATCCCATCACAGCACACCGCATCCCATCACAGCACATCGCATCCCATACCATTCCATGCCAAGCCATCTCATGCCATGGCATGCCACTCCATTCCATGCCATGTCATCCCACGCCATGCCATGCCACACCATTCCATGCCATGTCATCCCACGCCATGCCATGCCACACCATTCCATGCCATGACAGGTGCACCATGGCGTTTCAAGGCTTGCCTATGCACAGAGCCAGGCAGCAAGCCATGAGGAACATACCATTTGATGGCACATCATCATCACAATCCACACAAAAACAAGACATACGTTGCACACGAGGCGCAGAGGAAACTGCTGGCACATTGAACCACCATCGCCGCCAGCAGAACGGATCACGTTGTTTCCGAAGTGCCTCAAATATGGGAATATTAGAAATTGACAGGATCTTGTCAACACAGGAGGATTCTCTAGCTTTTCTCACACGAGCACAACTTTTCATTCCTAGTAAAGACATCTTGCAAGTTGCGCAACACATTACTCCACATATCTGTGACCCCTCTTATACTTCAACCATTCGGTTCAGTCACGTCTACATACAGCAACGCACCCGCGATAGCTTGTTGAAACGGGCGTGTGAGGGACCCGTGGTGCTGGGTGGAAGGGATGAGTCTGGTGGACTAAGGGCTCGCACCTGGGGGGTGAGGTGGTACAGGTGACAGAGGTGAAAGGCGTGACAGACAGGCAGTGAAAGGGAGGACGATGATGACAACGACGACAACAATGAGATGACTAAGGCAGTGGTGACTATGAAGATAATGATGATAATGATCTTCATAGTCACCATTGCCTATTATGATCATTATCATCATCGCCTTTGTCGTCAACATGAAAATCACTTGAGAATTCTCAAAAATGCTTTTCTTAAAAAAAAAAACAAAAAAAAAAGCCTTCTTCCCACTCACCAGTCTCTTTCTGAACAGCTTATGGACAAAGCTGGCTGGCATGTGAGGGCAGCACACCGCCACCCACTTGCGCGCACTCACAACCCCCGCGTCCTCCCCTTTGGCGTCTACACCGCCTTCCTCATCATCTCCCCTTATAATGCCTGCTCTGTAACGCACTCCCTTGCTCCTACCTTCCTCCCTCACCCCTCCTCCGTCCCTGCCTCTCCCCCTCACAGCAGTTCCCTGAACGGGAAGCAGAGAGGGGAAGTGGACTGGTGCCAGCTGTCGCCACGGGACTGGCCCACTGTCCGTGTCGTCTGTTAGTGTGCTGCGCTGTTGTTCATACCCCTGCTGCTCCTGCTGCTGCTGCTTTTGCCGCGTAGTTTCACGCCCCTGCTGCTGCTGCTGCTGCTGACGCATTTGCCGCGTGGGTGCATACCCCTGCAGCTGCTGCAGCTGCTGCCGAACTTCCTCGTGGCGCTTTTGACGCGCCTTGACCCTGCCGTGTCTTTCAACCGTCTGCTCCTCCACCCCACCAGTCCTATTTCTCCCAACGCACTGATCCTCCGCTCCACAAATTATCTTTCTCCCAACTCCCTGTTCGTTCACGTCGCGAGGCCTCTTTCTCCTGAACGTCTCTTTTCTACCAGGCGCCTCAATTTTCTTCTCATTCCCAATTTTCTCCTCCACGTCATAGGTTCTCTTTCTCCCAACGCTCTGATCCCCAACGTCGCGACTCCTCCTTCCCCTGAATGTCTCTTTTCTACCACGCGTCTCAGTTCGCTGCTCATTCCCGATCCTCTCCGCACGCCTGCTCGATTGAGGTCCCGACGAAGATGATTTTAACCGGGAGGGAACAGTATGGAGCGAGCGTGTGTTCGCGTTTGTAGCGGGGACTGCAGCGACTTCGTTAAGATCGACAACCAGCGAGTGCGAATGCGGAGGATTCGAGGTGTGTGGTGAGTGCTGCTGGGACGATGGAAAGGAGACGTCCAACGCGTGCAGATACGAGCGAACCGAGCAGCCCAGCGACGACGTTATACTAGAGGATCGACGCCGCAAAGAATGGACGCTTCGACTTAGAGCGCCAGCAGCCATGGCTGCTCAGCCGCGTCTGACAGTTCCTCGCATTCGTCTGGGAAGTGCCGCCGAGTCGCCGACTCAATGGACAACAGACGGGCTTTGCTGATGAAAGTCTGCTGCTGAGGCGAACATTTTGGGTTTCCGATTTTCCACTTTATGGAGCAAATGAAGGAATCCGAGCGAGTTCGTTACAGGCTACGGTTTTCAGCTTTATGAGTCTGAAGCACATTCCTCCCCCATTTATTTATACACCAGACAGAAAATAACAATTTCAACTAGCACACAAAACGAATAGCATTAGCACACATTGTTTTTAACCAACAGAGCCCTCGAGCTTGAGGCTCATGAGCTGGTTGACCTCAGAGGCAAACTCCAGAGGCAACTCGTTGAACACCTCACGGCAGAAGCCGCTGATGAGCATGCCCACTGCCTTCTCGGCGTCGATTCCTCTTTGTTGGAAGTAGAAGAGCTGATCCTCCCCAATCTTAGACGTGGATGCTTCATGCTCCACTCGAGCCGTCGGATCCTTCACCTGCATTGATCGAAAGGCGTTCAGGAATATTCAAGGGCAACCGAGAACATTAACATTGAATAAGAAACACGAACACTTTGTACCACTATCAACAGCCACACTTCCACCAGCACATGCACATCCTCCAATAGCAGATGCACTCTAAATCATCCACAGACAACATTACTTTGTAACACTCACCTGGATGTAAGGGTACGTGTTAGCGCCAGCGTGTTCCCCAATGAGCATGGAGTCTCACTGAGAGTAGTTGCGTGCTCCATGTGCCGTGGACTGCACCTGCACCAGGTGACTCTTGAGTCTACTCAAAGGTCTCTCACCTGGATGTAAGGGTATGTGTTAGCGCCGGCGTTATCCCCAATGAGCATGGAGTAGCACTGAGAGTAGTTGCACGCTCCATGTGCCGTGGGCTGCACCTGCACCAGGTGACTCTTGAGTCTACTCAAAGGTCTCTCACCTGGATGTAAGGGTATGTGTTAGCGCCGGCGTTATCCCCAATAAGCATGGAGTCGCACTGAGAGTAGTTGCGCGCTCCATGTGCTGTGGGCTGCACCTGCACCAGCCCCCGGTAGCAGTTGAGCGACTGCCCTGCTGAGATGCCCTTGGATACAATGCGGCTGCGCGTGTTCTTCCCCACGTGGATCATCTGGTGTAAGGGGGGGAGGAGGGGATTGAAAGAAACACCATGAGAGACAAGCAGTTGAGCGACTGCCCGGCTGAGATGCCCTTGGATACAATGGACTGCACGTGTTCTTCCCGCCGTGGGTCATCTGGTTATCAGGGTGCCGAGAGGAAGAGAGGATTGGGAGGAGGAGCATGAGACATAGTGGGGCAAGAACACCGGTGAAGCGCGATTGCCCTTAAATACATGCGGCTGCAAGTGTTTGTCTCCAAGTGAATCCTCTGGAGATTTGGATGTGGAAGGAAAGAGGGCACTGGACATAAGACGAGGATTACATAGTGGTCTAGACAGGTATCTGGGCTGGAATGAGTTTGGCAGACATGCCACTGATAGACATGCCTCCCTCTCAGCAAGTCGCCCTTCGACCATCATGTGCCTGGGCTGTACGCCCTGGAAACATTCTGCCCCTAGGCTGTACACCCTCGGACCATCATGCACCTGGAATTGACCGTCCTTGAGTCCAGCGGCAGCGGCCTCACACAAACGGTTCTACTTTCTCGCTTCTACTCCCTCGCCTACCACACCCACATCCCACCACGCCCCACGCCCCACGACCCACAGACCCTGGTACCCTGGTACCCTCCCCACAATTCGGTGCCCTGTCAAACTGCTGCTTGCTGCGCGCTACCCACCAACCGGCTCGCAGTTCACCCGGCATAATGCCCCCTACGTCCCCTTGCTGCTGCTGCTGCTTCTTGTCGATAAGCCCCCACAGAATAGAGCTCGCACTAAGTCAGCCTGCTACTAAAGCTGCCAGTCGTTCAAGCAAACGGCCCGCATGTCGTCGTGCCCACCTTGGTGCCGGTGTCGGCCTGCTGCTTGTTGTTGGTGAGCGCCACGGAGTAGAACTCGCCGGAGCTGTTGTCGCCCTTGAGCACCACAGAGGGGTACTTCCACGTGATGGCGGACCCAGTTTCCACCTGAGACACAGGAAACGGAGCATGTACGCGTTAGAGAGTCAGCGAGGGTACTTGCACTGCAGTGAGCACTGGCAGCAGGTGGGAACCTAGACCGAAGCCGAAAAAGAGCGAGCAAGGAGGAAACGTGTGTATGGAGGGGGGGAGGGGGGAAGGGGGAGGAGGGTGGGGAGAACGGGGGGGTGGGGTTGCGAAAGTGAGACGAACGTGAAAAAGGGAGGGACGGGGTTGGACATCGGAAAACTACAAGAATCATAAAAGCTCTCTATAGGATGACCCACAAACGCGTACCTGCGTCCAGGAGATCTTGGAGTTCTTGCCCTCGCACAGCCCGCGCTTGGTCACAAAGTTGTAGATCCCGCCCACGCCGTCCTTGTCGCCGGCATACCAGTTCTGCACCGTCGAGTACTTAATCTCCGCGCCCTCGCCCGTCCACAGCTCCACCACCGCCGCGTGCAGCTGGTTCTTATCGTACGAAGGCGCCGTGCACCCCTCCAGGTAGCTCACATAGCTCCGGTCATCCGCCACGATTAGGGTTCGCTCGAATTGACCGGTTTCCATGGCGTTGATTCGGAAGTACGTGCTGAGCTCCATGGGACTGATGGTGTCTTTAGGAATGTAGCAGAAACTCCCGTCGCTGAAAACGGCGGAGTTGAGAGCGGCGTAGTAGTTATCCGCGACAGGTACGACCTTCCCCAGATACTTCCGGACCAGGTCCGGGTACTCCCGGACGGCCTCGGAGATGGAGCAGAAGATGACGCCGGCCTTGGCGAGCTCTTCGCGAAAGGTCGTCGCGATGGAGACGGAGTCGAAGACGACGTCGACGGCGACGTTCGCGAGGCGCTTCTGCTCCGAGATGGAGATGCCGAGCTTGTCGAACGTCGCCAGCAGCTCCGGGTCGACCTCGTCCAGCGACGCCTTGGTCTCCTTCTGCTTCGGCTCCGAGTAGTAAATCACGTCCTGGTGAAAGGTGGGGGAGGGAACAGTGGGGGAGAGAACGGTGGGGTAGAGAACGGTGGGGGAGAGAACGGTGGGGGAGAGTACGGTGGGGGAAGGAAAGGTGGAGGAGGGCATTATTGAGGCGTCTCAAGAACGTCGCCAGCGGCTCCGGGTCCACCTCGTCTCGTCTCCTTGTGCTTCTGCTCCGAGTAGTAAATCACGTGCTGGTGCGTGTGGTGTCGGCGATGAGGCGGATGGAGGGGGGAAGGAAGGCGAAGGGGTGGGTGTGGGGAAAATTGGGGATGTTAGGGATGTGGAGGGGGGACGGAGGGGGTAAAGGGAGCAAATGTGATGGGGCTGGGAGCTCGGGATCTACTTTACCTCCGCAATAGTGGATAACGTCCTGCCCGTAAGGGATCAGAGGAAAGCGTAATGGACGGAGAATTGATTGTTTTGTATTCGTCTCTACATCTGTTTATTTCTCTTTTTTCTTTTATCGCCATGTCTGTCCGACGTTTTTCCCTTTGAATTGAAAATATCATGCTTGTATTCACTACCTTCCACAGCAGTGTCCTCTTCATACCTGGAAGTCAATCTTAGGGTAGCGATTGTCCGACCACTCAGGTTCGGTCATCTTCTGCCATTGTCGAAACGCACTCAAACGGAACTCCAGCATCCACTCCGGCTCCCTCTTCTTCGCCGAAATCAGCCTCACTGTCTCCTCCGTCAATCCCTTGGGAATCTGGACATTCTCGATGTTAGACACGAACCCATACTTGTAATCACGCTGCAGAAACTGCTGAATGGTATCGTCGCTTGAGGATTTCTTTTCAGGAGCTGTGAGAGCAGCGCCTTCTGGTGCGGCTTCGCAGCGAGGGGTGGTTCGCCTAAGCTGCGGCTGGCTCGCACGTGCAGCTTGACGAGTTTTCGCCACGAGCTTGCTACCAAGAGCGGGGCTAGCGGCGAACTTAAGCGACGCGGAAGAAGCAGGAAGCCTGTGCTCGACCTTGGGGTTCGCGAGCGCGACAGGCGCTGGGGCTCTGTGAGCTAGACATTCCATGGCTAATCCTATCAGCTTCCTCTCGCTTAACAGTAATAACTGCAGTCTCGCACCAAGAAAATCCCCTGGCAATACTCAGAGAAACAAATCCAAAGCAGCAGCACGAAGGATGAAAAAACACTGCTGCAAGCTAAGAACCGCGATGGGGATCACCGTGTGGAATTGCCAGAAGATATGAGGAAAGGGGAGGTTGTAGTTGTGGTGAGGTGATGGTGCATGCAAGCAAAGCCCCAGCAGTTTGGCTGGAGCATGGAGGAAGCCCAGAGAAATCCCTGAATGGCTTGGTTGGGAAGGCTCGCGTTCACTGATGCAACTGAGCTCCACTCACCCGTTTGACCTGGCGGTTTTGAAAGTACAGATTTTGGTGCATTGGAGCCATTTGTGAAGCGTCAAATGGATCCACCTGGCGGCAAGATGCACAAGGCAATAAAAAATTTGCTAGACCCGAAGTGATTAGACACGCCCTGAAACAAACTTCGGTATAGTTCAAGGTTCGGCAAGGAGCTTCTCGGAATGTTGGTGCAGGTTCGGTAGGCTCGGGGAGCAGCATGAGATTGGCCGCCAAGGTTCACGCACATTCCCCGTGCTGGTCGTGGTTCGTGACCCTGGTGAGAAGTCGGTGCCATGTGGCGGGTTACAGTGGCACACCATCTTCACACTCGCAATCTCGGGAAGCTATTGAAACAGCGGGTGATGACGTGGTGTATGCCTGTGGATTTCTTCCTTGCATTCAGTCTTGTTGTCACGTTGCACAAGGAAATACACCACACAATGCCCTGCTTATGAGTCTTACATATTATGTACACTGCCTTGTCTGTTTCTTCTCTATTCAGCCTGGGCATCTAATGAAATATCTGTAATATTGGTTTATTCTTATTAGTTTAAAAAGATTTCTTTTAATAATCAGGGGGGAGAGAGAGGGGGGGGGGGGGGGGGGGGGGGGGGGGGGGGGGGGGGGAGGAGGAGGGGGCTGCAGAAGGAGGAGGGAAGGGAGGGGACTGGAGGGGGAGGGGGTGGTTGGTCGTGTCGGTGCTACCTGTTGGGGTATAATGTTATATTTTTCTCAAATCGAGGCCTTTTCTTTATCCATGTCAATGTTTTGTTATTCTTAAAAATGAGTCAGCTCAGCGCCGATGGTAGCTTAGAATATTAATCTTTATATATTTATGAAGTGCATTGCACGGTTTCCACTAGGATGTGGTATATCTTGAAAGTGTGATAGCGATATTTTCTTTTGTCCGCGATCAGGGTTCCGATATTTACACCCTAAGGGTACATTCCTGTGGGGACACTTGTGTCTCAATCCCCGTTTTCCCGAGTCGCGCCTGTAAATTTGCCAAATGTTGTGTCACAAACAACCAATGTATCGCGACCCTGCACGACAGATGGGCACAGCCAGGTGGGTGCGTACTATTGGTTGCGACCAATAGGATTGTGCCCACCCAGTTTTCCCGCCGGGCAGGGGGGCTAAACATATCGCACCACCTCGAGTATCGCGGTGGGCTTGCCACAGAAATGAAAGTTGCAATTTGGGCCACCCCACACACAACAGCATGTATACAACCAGTCATATGTCAGCCCGGGCAGAGCGGTTTCCATCCCCGCGCGGAAACGTGCCCAGTTCGGGCGTCCAGGTGCATGCTGTACAGTGTGAGATTTCGACACGCGTGCGATTTTCGGGATGTGACGGAGCCTCGTGTAACTCGTCCGCGACACAAGCGCAATTCACGCCAACCAATGTAAAATACAGTGGGACTCGCATAAGCGCGATCCGCTTTTGTGACAGGGCACGGTATATGCTGTTTTTAGATGTCACAAAGTGATTGAGACACAAGTGTCCCCGCAGGAATGTACCCTAAGCCCATGAAGTGTAATTCGACACTCAAACCAAGGAAGCAAGCTGGGCCACGCGATGAGCCTCCCGCTTCTCTAAGGTGTCATCGGCCACAAGGGCAGTGGGACGCTGAGGGGCAAGCAGCTCACCCGGCATATGGGCGTAAAGGTAGACGCCGCGTTGGCGCTAGCTTTACAGGTGGAGCTGGACATTGACAGCCATGTATCAAAGTAATCACTCGCCCTTCCGCATTGAGTCGTCGAACGAACTTGGACGCTACGACACGAATAAGCAAGGGCATAACTTCTGCAACAAATACGGGGACAACCACAGGTGGAGGTGAAGAACGTCAAAAGCAGTTTGTGTGAAGAAAATGAGGAATGAATGCACTAGGAAACAGGTGGGCACAAGCAGGAAAACCTAAAAGTGTTGTACCCTATATTGTCAACCCCACTACAGCCTACACAGACTATAGCATATAAGTTTGACACACCCCCATAGGCAAAGTGGGGGAGAACAAGAGGTCACAAGACCAGTCAAGCAAAGCACAGTAAGCTCAGGGTGGATCACAACGTCACCACACATTCCGAGCACAAGTTCAAGGCCACAAGGCCAGTTCACATGCAAGATTATATATAAAGGTAAACAAGCAAGTGCAGGTATAGATGGATCACAGTACAAGCAAGGTCAAGCAGTGAGCAAGTGAGGCCAAGTAGGCACAAGACCTAGCATAGTACAGAAGCGCTGATGATCACAAGGCGGAAGTGCCCTGGTAAAGATATCATCAGTGTTGGCCTCAGAGGCCACGTAAGCAAGGCGCAGCTGACCACGCTGCTGCAGCTCACGAGCAAGGAAGTAGCGAAGAGCAATGTGCTTTGTTCTGTGCTCCAGTCTGTGCTCCCGACACAAGGCCAGCATGGCCTTGTTGTCTACGTACAGAACTGGAGGAGAACGAGGCGGCTCTCCTAGGTCAGTCAGCAGGTAGGTGAGCCAGCGTAGCTCCTGTGCAGCCATGGCCCCCGCGTAGATCTCAGCCTCACAGCTGGAGCCGAGAACAGAAGACGAGCGGGTAGACCGCCACGAAACAGAGCCGGAGCCAAGGCTGAAGGTGTAACCCTGTGACGACCGCTGCGTAGCCTGGTCGTCAGCCTAAGAAGCGTCTGCGTGACCTGTGAGGACCACTCGACGTCGCCCTCCAAGCACTAGCCCCATGCCCGACGTACTGCACAAGTAGCGCAACACCCTCTTCGCTGCAGCCATGTGCTCTGGTCGGTGTCTCCAAGGAGCAACATAGCGTGCCAAGATGCTAAGAGGGTATGCGAGGTCAGGTCGTGTGCAGGTCATCAGGTACATGAGGCAGCCAACAAGCTCTGGGTACGGGCCACTCGGCTCTACGGACTCATCCGAAGGCAGAGCTGAGAGCGAGTGGCGAGTAGACAGAGGAGTGGCCTGAGGCGAGGAGTACGTGAAGTTGAAGCGCTGAAGGACCTGCTGCACCATGTGTGACTGAGTCAGGGTAATGGTGCGCTGTGCTCTGTCCCGGGTGATCTGCAAGCCAAGGTAGCTGCGCAGTTCACCCAGGTCTGTGCACGTGTGTCTCTTCTGCAGCTCGGACTTCACGTGGGCGAGTCCAGCAGTGTCAGCAGTGGCAAAGACCAAGTCGTCGACGTACACGAGGATGTAGAACGGCGGCAAAGAGGTGTCGGTGCGCAGAAACAGCGACGGGTCGGCAGTAGAAGGAGCAAACCCAAGAGCCGCAAGTGTAGTCCTCAGTGTGTCGTGCCACTCACGTGGTGCCTGGCGGAGACCGTAGACTGGCCGCCGGAGGCTCCACTGGGTACCAGGAGGAAACGACCCAGTGAAGCCAGGTGGGCGGCGCAACCTGTCAGAAGTACAGGCAGGAATGAATGAACTATGGAAGAGCTGGGTACAAATATCAAACCCTAGAAGGGGTTGTACCCCATATTGGCTACCCCACTACAGCCTAAACATATATAGCATATATAGTCTCACACACCCCCATAGGCAAAGTGGGGGAGAGCAAGGGGTCACAAGACCAGTCAAGAGAGGCAAAGCAAGCTCAGGGTGGATCACAACGTCACCACACATTCTGAGCACAAGCAAAGGGCCACAAGGCCAGTTCGCATGCAGGGATATATATGCAACAACAGCAGTACAGTGATCTCTACCTAGTAGAGCAAGCAAACAGGTATATGATATATGGATCACAGTACAAGCAGAGTCTACAGCAAGTGAGGAAACGTGGGCACAAGGCCCAGTAAGGTACAAAAGCACTGATGATCACCACGCAAAAGTGCCTTGGTGAATATATCAGCAGTGTTGGCCCGAGTGGCCACGTAACGCAGACGAAGCTGACCACGCTGCTGCAACTCTCGAGCCAGGAAGTAACGTAGAGCGATGTGCTTTGTTCTGTGCTCCAGTCTGTGCTCCTCACACAAGGCAATGGCAGCCTTGTTGTCGACGTACAGCACTTGAGGAGAACGAGGCCGCTCTCCCAGGTCGGTCAGCAGGTAGGTGAGCCAGCGTAACTCCTGTGCAGCCATGGCTGTGGCGTAGATCTCAGCCTCACAACTGGAGCTGAGAACTGAAGACGAGCGTGTAGAACGCCAAGAAACTGAACCAGAGCCAAGGCTGAAGGTGTAACCCTGTGACGACCGCTGAGTAGCCTGGTCGTCAACCCAAGAAGCGTCTGAGTGCCCAGTGAGGACAACTGGGCTCTTCCCTCCAAGCACTAGCCCCATGCCTGATGTGCTGCACAAGTAGCGCAGTACCCTCTTAGCGGCAGCCATGTGCTCAGGTCGGTGCCGACCAGGAGCCACGTAGCGAGCCAACAGACCAAGAGGGTACGCGAGGTCAGGACGAGTGCAAGTCATCAGGTACATGAGGCAGCCAACTAGCTCTGGGTAAGGACCACTCGGCTCTACGGACTCATCCGAAGGCAGAGATGAGAGCGAGTGACCTATAGCCAGAGGAGTGGCCTGTGCCGAGGACCAGGTGAAGCCGAAGCGCTGAAGGACCTGCTGCACCATGTGTGACTAAGTCAGTGTGATGGTGCGGCGTGCTCTGTCCCGGGTGATCTGCAAGCCAAGGTAGCTGCGCAGTTCACCCAGGTCTGTGCACGTGTGTCTCTTCTGCAGCTCCGACT